GAACATAAATAACACTAATAAACAGTCTACAGTCTCATACACAGATAATTTGTCAATGATTCTTGCAAAGCTGCATCACAGTGAACTCATCTATTTTTATTAAAACTGCAACAATATTAAACATTATAGACAAACAAAAGTGAGCTGGGGTCACAAACCATTTGTTATACTGGAGACAAACAGATGGAGAATCAATGTTGTAACCATGAGGGCAAGGAAACAGCACAGGGTTACCCAAATTAAAGTGTTATTTGGAAACACTGTCATTTAAACTTGAGTTCAACACTATGAAAAGTGATGAAATTCGAAGCAACAACCAACCTTACAAATAAGGACAAATAATCACATTATAACATGGCCTGTAAAATAATTTAATTGGCTTCTTTTGTTGTTTTTTTCCCCTTTTCATACAACTCAGCTGCCTCTGTCTGTGCAAAAAATACTAAGAAACGTTTGAGGCTATTTACAATTTACATACCTCCATAAAAGAGATGCCCACACTCCAGACATCAGCATGGATCCCATATTGTTCTCCTGATATTCTTTCTGGCTGTAAGCAAAGTGCAACACAAACTTGCTTCTTCACAGAAAACAAAACAAAATGGAAAAATTATTGTGAATGCAAATAATAATAAAGGATAACTCACCGCCATGTATGCGTTAGTTCCCACGTAAGTTTTGGCAATTGAATTTACCAACTGGAAATAAATTAAACAATATTAATATAAATAATTACACTGAGAAAGAATCAAAGAAGCTATTCAAGTGACAGTAATTATCACATAGTATATAAAAAACACATGATAATGCAAAACTTAATCTGCATGACAAATGTCAGGTGGACACTTTGGGGTTCATTCAGCCCTTGCAAAAGACAGCAGTGCAGGACAAGGAGACAGTTGTGAGTTTGTATGCCATCAGCGACAGGACTGTGATAATGAATGTCTGTTCCCATATGGGTTTTCTTTTTTTAAAAACGTCCTGCAGAGTGTAAGACAGGAAGATTGTGTGCAAGATAGATAAACAGAAAATTTTAAAATAAAACAAGGGTTAGGGCATGACATTGCTACATGTGCTACAGATTCAAAGTGTAAAATTTACCTTTGAGTAGCCCAGGAAGTGAAGGTTATAAATAAATAGTACTGTGCCACAGAAGGGATGAAGTGTGTSTATGTGTGTGTGGAGAGAAAAGACTCTACAGGGTTGATATTTTGGGGAACGGTGAAGGTCCGTCCCTGATGATTACATTACAAAACACACTTTGTCACGCACGCACGCACGCACACACACACACACACACACACACACACACAC